CCACCTTTTTTTTGTACGCGGGGGATGCCAAACTAAAATTTTCCCGATTATTTCGCCATCCAAAAGTGCGGTCAAAATTCGAAGCTTTAGAAAAATGATTCGCAATTTCGTACTAGGAAGTTTCCGGGGTCGCTAATTACGAAACCGCTGTCAGATTTGCGAACTTCATAATGGCGAAACCAATATGGCATCTGGTAAATTTCGAGCTTTTTCATTTGATTTCTTATAAAAATTTTGGGTATGAAATATTATAGCCAACATAATTTTGGTATAATAAAGTAGGCGGCCGCTGTGGTGTAGTAGTTAGCAGTGTGCGCTACTATTTCACAACGCCGGAATGGGCTTTAAAAGTGCATACTCAAAAACTTTGTAAGAAATCTACTTTAAAAGCTCGAAGTTTTGTACATACAGGTGCAGTTAAAAAAGCGTGTTAAAAAGTACATTAAAATTCCAATGGTAGATTTAAACAGCTGTATTTTGTTTTATTAAGTATGTAATACCTTTCTGAGTAACCACCAATAGATTTAAAGGCAGCATCCGACAGCTTTCCTTTAACAACACAAATTTTCTAAAAAAAGAAAATCAAGTAATTTTTAAGAAAAAAACAAAAACGACTTCAATTCTCGCTTAAAAAATTTAAGACTATCCGTTAATTTCTTCATGATCCAACAATCGGATCTAAACCAACCAACTTTCCTTAAAAAAAAAATTCTGCAATAACAGACATAAAAAAATATATTCCGACGAATTGGTAACCTCCCCTTCTTTTGAAGTCGGTTAAAAATATCATTATATTTCTGTTTCTTACAAAAAATCTGTTACTGTGTTGATATTCTTAAAAACTTTCATGTAATTTATTAAGCTTCAGACGTAGATTCCATTGTTTTATTGGATTTTCCCTATTCAAAATTCTTCTACACGTTTATAACTTTTCCCTTTCAAATCAACCACAATGTTGAGCTTGGCCTTCGCCACATTCTGCCTGAAAATAAAGTGGCAACTTTGGCTACGTTCAGCCGTTACTATGAACGGTTTTCGCATCTTAGAGGATCCCTTTAGCCAACTCAGTCATGAGAAAGCCTTATCTAGAAACTTGTTTTCCCATTTTGCCCGCACTTTTGGATTTTGGCCGCACGTGCGCTGTTGGAGGGCAGATCTTTTGATCTAACTGAAAAATTTATAAAGCCGAACTAGGAATCTTAAAGTCGGAAACTAGAAAACATTGAGAACATTCAGCGGATGTATAGAAGTGCATTATGTTTAGGCTTGCTCTTAAATTTATGAAATTTCGCACATGTACTTCTCAACTGCCCTGTAACTAAAATGTTTCTACATTATTATTTGATGTCAGTTCAAAGTATGCTCGGCCTTGTCTGATGCATCCTCCGGACACTGGTTCCGGAGCTTTTTTTCCTCCTCAAAACTTCCAAATCTCGTGTATGTATAGGAGTTCAGCATGTTACTATGGCTGCTTTCGTCACTCGCGCGAACTGCCGTTTGCGTGAATATGAATATAGTTAAAAAGCCAAATAAAAACAACCAACCTCTTTTAGATCGAAGTTTCGTGGTCTTAAAGGCATAGACGAAATGTTTTTGAAATTCGTATGTGTTACCTTAGCTCGCAAATTTTTTTGCATCAATGCCTTCTGCCAACAACTCATATATCGACTTACGTATACACTTACCTAGTACATTGTATGTATGTATATGTGCCACAACGTGTGCGCTCATAAATATGCAACACTTAACCAGAATTGTTGCTCTAAATATATTTGTGTTTATATTTTAGTCTCAAACGACCTTGGTTAATTTACGCACAGATGCGAATGAAGTGAGTTTAACCGACATATATACATATACGGCAATGTAGCGAAGCCACTTGGCTTAGTTTGCCAGTATAAAAGCAAAGTAAGAAATTGTAGATTCCAACAGTTACCTTGCGCATCTTCAGAGAAAAGTTATTTCAAATAATAATTTTGTCTAAGTTAAATACATTTGCTTAAATAATCCAACATGATTGTATTAAACTGGTTAAAAATATGCGCGTTCGTTCTGGTTATATCTATAACTTTGCAACCAGGTACTGGTCTTCGAACCGTTTGCGGTCCGGCGTTGGATGCCGTGCTCAGTACCCTATGCGTTCATGGCTTTAACACAAAATTCAAGAAGTCTAGTGAGTATATTAAAAAAAATAAATTTGTATGTTTATCAATCGAATAATTCAATCTAAATATTCTCAATATACAAAAATTGCAGTGGAATGGGATAATCTTGGCAGTAATGAGTTGGAGCCTGCGATGCCCTTTCCCTTTGCAAATTTCCCTTTCTTGGCTAAGATTCATGGCAACCAAGTTGACACATTGGCCAAGACTCGTCGTCGCCGTGGCGGTGTGTACGATGAATGTTGCAGCAAGGCTTGCACCTACAATGAGATTTTGTCCTACTGCAATCAATACGAAGATTAAAGTGACTAACAATGGACAAAGATATACTCATATACGTAGATATTCAGAAATGAATTTTAATTAGTGTGATAGTTAGCTAGCCAAAATTAAAAAAGAAAACTTTCGACTTGCATTAATATTTTGTATGTCAAAAAACTAAGTACCTACACCATATACATAGATAAACGAAATATATCTGTTTGCTACACCATATACATTTAGTTTAAAATTTGTAAACTTTAAGTATATATGTACATATGTATGTGTGCATGCGCGGCCAGTGGTGCTGCAAACCCATCGATAGTGGCACCATCGATGGTTTTCGATAGTTTTGTAGGTAACCGGTAACCATCGATATCGATGGTTTATAAGAGTGACCCGTTAAATAGAAAAGGGTTTCATAAATATTAGGTATTTATTTACACATATTATTTTCATTTATTTTCAAACTAATAGTTCATTTCCACCAAGCCTTAACTGCAGTTTAGTTCTAGTGAAAAAGGGAGATTAGCACTTCGACGGGGTAATTTCAAATGTTAAGTACAAACAAACAAATTTAAAAAATCAAAAAGTTAGTAATGAAAACCTTCCCATCACCTCGGTGATGCGCAATAATGTCAATGGAATTAAAGATACTGACATTAATACACAATTGAAAAGGGAATTAAAGTCAAGGGCATTAATACACAGGCCAAAAATGAAACATTGTCATTGTGAAATAACATTATTATATCCATGGACATTATTCCTCTATTAAACAATATTGACAAAATACACTTCTAGCATACTATACACATACAATGAACATGGTATAGAACTTTGAAGCGCATAACACCAAGACGGTCCGTGTTCGCGCCGCCTTACCACGCATCGCGACCAGTGTTGCCAATAACTAATTTTTTTTTTTGCAAAAAATGTAGCAAATCTCACTGAAACGTAGCCATTTTTTAATGCTTGTAATTATAATTAGGGAATGTCGTTAGGTTCAATTTGGGTTTATTTTTCAAAATAATTAAAATTTCGCAATATATTGACAAGTTTTGGTTATTTAGTTGTTTATTGTTTAATTTCAATTATTATATTATTGTTCACTCTATATCAAAAACTATATAAGTCATGGATCAAAATTTTGCATCGAAATAAAATAAAAGCCTAAAGTGCACAAAAATTCCGTTGATTTTTGCTGACAGTGCACAGTGGGACTCATATAAGCTGTGCTCAAAAGTAGTAACCACTGTTGCCACTGGCGAAAAAAATACTTACCATCCACGTGAAAAAAATCTACTAAACCTGGAAAATATCTAACAAAATCTTTTTCTAAATAAACCAGCCTTTTTAAGTTATTTTAATAAAAACTATAGTTTTGTTATTTTTTTAATTATTTCAATAAGAATTAAAATAGTTTTCAAGGAACTTTTTATTTAACTAATTATAGGTTCCGTATTTGAGATCATATTAAATCATATTAATGGCTTATTATCAGTTTCATTCAACCGAAACTTCATCATTTGAAAAAAATTCAATTGGAGTTATTATAGACAAATACCTTGACACAAAAACCGCTTGGTTTTTTTTTTAATATTCGCCATTTTTTTAAGAAATTTTTTTTTGATTTTTTTTTATACAAGAATATTGTTTGCGCTTCCAAAAATTTTAGTCTAATCTTTTACTCTGAATTTTTCGAAATATTTAAGGTATGGAGTTTTATAGCCCATAATATTTGAGTATAACCAAAACCGTGCAGCTGAAAATTACTGTTGATTTTTTTAAATTTTTTGCCGCCAGCTTTTTGTGGTTCTTTTTATTTAACAATTGCTATTGATAAAAGATTGCTTTGATTAATTTTTTTTAGTGAACAGTCATAGTGCGCGTAATGATATACCTGTCCATTTTTTCTTTTTATTTTAATAATCATTTAAAATATTTAGGAAATCAAAAGCTTCTCGGGGTTCTAGTAAAATCGATATATCGTCGCTTGGAGCGCAATACCTCGTATCCGCAAAATGCAATACCACGTATGAGGTGGCATAGAAAAAATTTGTTTTGGTGTGTCAATGCTTCCCTACTTCACAAATTTAATAGTGCATCTCATATTTAGTAAGTTCAGTTAGGAAAACATTCAAAAGTTTTGAAAAAAATAAGTTTCTTCGCTCTTTAGTGAAATTTTCGGACTATCTTAAACGCGGTATTGCATTTATCGTATTTGTGGTATTGTGCGCCAAGCGACGATATGTATCTACATTTATACGTTTGTATATAAAAAGTGTGCATTAGGGCGTTCGAAAATTAATGTAATAAAGTAGACTACACTTTTGGAAAGAAATTTATATTATGAAGATAACTACGAAAAATAAAGCGGGAACCAAAAATTTTATTTGTTATTCAAACCATATAATTCAACAAAAATCTACCAAAAAGAGAAAAAATTTACCCACATTTTTTCTACCAATTTTGGTAACAATTTACCGGATCGGCTATAAAAATGCATTTTCATAACAATACATACTTCACTTTTAGAAGGTGAATCAATTCCAAAGTGACTTAATGTCAATTGACTTTTGGCCTGTGTATTAATGTTACTGACATTAATTTCATTGACATTATTTATTGCACGTCACTATCACCTTAAGTTAAAATTCTTCCAACTTACCTGGCCTCTTAACTTTGGTGAAAATAGACTGTCTATTACTATAATACAACTTTAGAAAAGCTATATGTTTTTACAAGCTTTTATTTGTTTGTCTGTTTGAACTCACTAATCTCTGGAACTGCTGAATGGATTTTCATGGGGCTTTAACTGATATCTAGACAGTGACCTCGGACATGGCATAGGATAAAAAAGGGGGTCTGACAAGGGGGCGTGGCACCCCCATAGGCTTGACATTTTTAATCAGTCTTGAAACTTGGTGTACTGATATGCATATCTATGGTAGATGCTTAGAGTAAAGTGGATATACCTACTTTTGTTAAAGGGGCGTGCCACATCGTATAGATGTGAAATTTTTAATCAGCCATAACTTCGGGGTCATAGGTCACATGACTTTAAAATTTGGTATGAAGACACATCCATGGTAGGTGCTTATAGTAATAGTGTTTTCTTTTCTCAAAACAACTTCTGCCCTTTTATATGGGAACT